GGGGGGGGGGGGGGGGGGGTGCGTGTCGGGAGCCCTTTTCTGTTCCAGAAGATGTTGTTAAATTAGAAAATGATTCCTTAGGCCAGTGTTGGTAGATAAAAAGCAAATAGGTTGTTTTTTTTTTTGTTTGTTTGTTTGTTTTTTTTTGTTTATTCGTTTGCATCAATTCAGTTCTGTTTGTAAGATGAACCATTCCTGTCCCTGCCTTGGGCACATTTCTTACTTGGAACTTTAAAAATTAATCTTCAATGTGTGCTCTCACAAGGAACAACCAGATTCAACTTTCTAGGTGTCTCACCTTTGGACTTCTGCCCTGCACACAGTTTCTACGCAAAGTAAATAAGACTGGGGCAGGTTCTTAATTAAAATAAGGTGGAGTTGCTACTTGGTGAACAACTTTTTTTTTCTTTTCTTTATCTTTTTTTTTTTTTTTTTTTTTTTTTTTTTTTTTTTTTTTTTTTTTTTTGGAAACAAAATGAAACAAAACAAGATATTATTCACCTGGGAATTTAGACCTGGGAATTTAGAATGCAGATGTTACTGTATACCTCTATCTGTCTTCATCAATTAATATGTATAGCCACAATACTCATTAACTTATGGCTCTCAGAGATGTTTGTTTATGTCTGAAGTGTGTAATAATTTTTAACCCAGAGTGCTCAGTCCCCAGGAAGGTCACAGCAGATGTCTCCATAAACGTTAAGAACAGTTTCAAAACCAGCCAAAACACCTTAATCTTGGCATTCCTTAATAGCACAAAAGCCTGCTCTTAACAGAATGGACAGTAATAGATTTCATTCCTTCTAAGGCACACACTGTTAAAAACCTGGTAACTTTCCATTTTGAACTCCGACCTAGGCTGTGTGTGTTGGGGGTGTGGACGGGCTAAGGCCTGCTCCCTGCTTCTGTGTACTTGCAGGCGGTGGAGATCAGATGTGGATAGAGGTAACTCTGAGACCAGGACAACCTCACACGAATAGAATAAACCAAAAGCTCCCAGAAAAGGGGGTTGAGAAGGGAGCTGGAGGGGCTGGGGACTGCTTTGGAGTGAGAGTCTAAGCAGTGTATCGGCTAAGATGAGAGGAGAAGAGAAGAGAGGACGTGGTGAAATGTTCCTCGGGCCCAGGTCTGTTTTGCGCGAGCTATGAGAACACAGACAGGCTGTGAGAAGCAGCAGTGTTCTTAGGTGGGGGCCACAGGATGCACTCAGCATCACCCTCTCCTCAGCTGCATGTTAATGCAGGGATGGAGGTAAGGGTTGGAAACCTGGACTGTATCACATGATCCTCTGCTCTTCTTTACCTTTCCGCTTTTCAGATGATGTGGAATGACTAGGGAGGAAGACGGGGGTGGGGTGAAGTAAAAGGACTTCCGCATCGCCCAGCACTCTAACTCGACCCCCTCCTTTAGATTGTGCCAGGAGCTTGACAGAGTCCATCACTGGCCAAAGCAAGGAGAAGGTGGCTAGTAGAGTTTCTATTCTGAAAATTTAGATTTCTACCATCTACCTGCAATTAATTATGTGAGATTAAAGGCCATAAATGGAATCCTGTGTGCCAGGAAGAAAAGGCGCCATCCTGAGCACAAGATCACAGCGCCAATGGGTATTAACCAGTCTGTTTACACCATCATCATGAGCAACAGTTAAATTTGTTTATGTCTACGAAATATAACACACACAATAAATTTATTTTTGATGAAGAGATGGAGAAGAATTTGGAAGAAATACTTTTTTAGCAGAAAGATGTAACTGAACAAAGTAATCATGTTGGGCATGGTGGGTTCCTGTAATGTCAGCACTTAGGAAGCTGAGGCAGGAGGATTTCCAGAAGTTCCAGGCCAGTATGGACTACAGAATAGGATCTGACTTTAACTCCCCTTTAAAAAGGAGCAATCAGTCTATCCACAGTGTTCAGGGTAGACAGGCCTCGTTTGCAGTTTGAGTAAGTCATGGTCTCTTAGAGAGTGGGTGGAGTACACACTGTAAAATAATTAAACCTGAGAAATAATTTATATTTATATTTATTTATTTACTTATTTATTTCTAAGACAGAGTTTCGTTATGGAACCGAGGCAGACCTCAGTATCGAAATCCTCTTGTCTCATCCTCCCAGGAACTGGGCCTATGGATGTGGATCACATCTGGTTTGATGAATACTTTTGTCTCCACGTGAAGCAATGAGCTTGCTAGAGAGATCTGTGGCTTGAAGGGAAAAGCTGCTGTTACGTTTCAGGGTCAGAGAGTAACTGGTGCAGCTTCTGCTCTGGGGCTGACTCTTGCCTTAAAGTCAACATTCATTTTCTCAGTCTGTGTCTTTTGCTTCCGGGGAGATCATGGCAAGTTGAAAACTGGATTCTGTGGGAGTACAGTCCGTCAGCAGCAGTTCCACTCCTGAAAGGCAGATTAGAGACAGCACCTGGGTCCTATCGCAGCACCGTGACTGAGGGTTTATGTTCCCGTGTGATGGGCCCCCTTCATGCATGTTATCGCTAGAGCACTGCCTGGCATTCACATTTTGTTGGAAAGCTAAGCTTGGTTCTAGACAATGCACTTTGTCCTCACTGAGGGTAGTTGCCGGGTCACCTGAAGGGTTCGCACTCGAGACTCTGGGCAGAGTGCAATTGTGAATCAGCAATGCGACTGAGTGCTGAGGAGTTCAGGGGTCACATCTTTGCAGTTGTGTAAGACTGAACAGAGGAGATAAAAACTGAGGTACCCGGTGCAAGCTTTCTCCTGCAGAGAGCTCTGGGGAAACATCTTCCTGAGTGTCGCGGATGTTCTTGGGAAGGGCCCTGTCTGAGTGTCAGCCCTCTTTTCCAGGTTCTGCTCCTTGCTGGGAAAACAGTAAGAGGAGACAGTTAAAGTGCCACCAGTGGCAAGAGTCTGAGAGACGTGTCCCAAGAAGAACTGACGGCATCGGAGGCCAGCCCGCCGAGAAGCACCAATGGTGCAGGCACGCTAGAAGACTTTGACACAAGGCAGAGGTGAGTGTGAAGAACACACACTTCCCGCGAACGCAGGGCAGATCAGGCAGTGCCGAATGACTGCAGACGATGATGACGCATCACCAAGTCACAGGAAGGTGCTTCTTCTACCTTCCTGTGGATCTGATCTTAAAATAATACACCACAATCCTCATTATGTTTAGTCATCTCCGTAACAAGTTCCATTTGACTTTGTTAAAGGAAAGGACATAAATGTTCCAAAAACATTGGTTCACTTATATTTCTGTCTACAGTCTATGTTATGTGGAAGCAAGACGCCACCCTTCGCTCCTTGAGGGATAGCTTGCAGACCTCAACGTAAAAATGGCTGCGGTGTGGTCTTTGGTTTCTTTATACGGCTGCATGCAGACAGCACAGTATGAGCACGTGTGTGTTAAAAATATTTTTATCTGTTTTTGTAGTAAACAGACACTTGGCCGTTCTGGTTTTGCCCATGAAACTAAAATGATGAATCCAGGACCAGCCATGCTTTATAGTCTGCTTGTCATCTTTGCCGTTTGCGCTTAGAACATTTTTAGTGCCAATTCATACATTCCATTTGACATGTTAGGCCTGGTGTGTTTGGCCTTCCGCATTTGGATACACCCCTCCTTGTTCTCCACAGCACTCTGCCTTCCCGTGGGGAAAGCTGCAGTGTTAATACTCTTGGGGAAGTTTTGCAAGATGCATTTCCTCTAGTCACACTTGCTTGCTCTGGGTACAGGCAGGGTTGGTGATAGTGGTGGCGATAATGTAGACATATATAATCTGGGGAATATTCTTCATGAATGCTAATATCACTCTCCTGTTTTTGCATGGAGAGGTTCCTCTTGGGAGCTTAGGAACCAAAGCTCAGTAATAATTTAGTGTAATCATATGATGTGAGAAGCATTCTGCTTACAACTACATTAGTTAAGACAGCATGGTTTGTGAACTAATAGGACACAGGTCAGTTTTGAGACCATCATTTTTCATATGTAATAAATTCTAAAAATCAGTTGACTTCATACGAACACTCCACATAAAAAATCAGAAAACCACTGTTAGAAAATGTACAAAGTGATCTTGTTACCGTCCCAATGATTACTGTCTGATAGTCTTTAGCGTTCCATCAATATTTAATCAACTAGTCCTACAGATCGATAGGTGCCTGCCGGGCACCTATTTGAGAACTGTGGCATTTAAGAGCTCTGCATTTATTTTTTCCCCTTTCCTTACATGAACTCACTTTTATGTACTTCAGTGCAACTGATTGCCTTTATCCTCTGCCACTATTTTAGCATTTATTATTTTATATCAAACATAAGAGCTTTGAGAATCATCACCTGAGGGACTTACTAAGCCTGCTAGAAAGAAGGACGCTTTTTTCCAAGATGAGATGGCTCATTGATCTTGAGAGAGCTGATTAGCATAGGGATGCAGGCTAAATTGTTTTATTCAGACACTGTTGTTGTCATCTTAAAGTTGGGTATTTTGTGACCTAAGGGTTCCAATACTTGATTTAATGGTCATGTGACCAAGGATATAAAAGCAACTCATTGAACTGACTTCTCTTTGAATGGCACCTGTAGGGCTTTAGAGTGCATTTTCTAGCTGGCACATCTGGACCCAAGGGTGATTCACTGAGCAATCTGCTGTGCTCTTTACATATGCAAAATATTGGTATTGACAAATAATGCCATCAGAATTCAATATGTCCAGTGAATTGTGTTTAATCAATAATTTTTCCTCCACCTTGATCAATATTTTGTTCTAAATTGAAATTCCTTCAGTAGTACCACTGTTAATTTGATATTGGACCCAACTGTGGGTCTTTGCCATGGAAACATTTCATGACATAAGTCCACATTAGCTAAACTCAGATGTGGAAGACTGACATTCTCTCAAGGTAATGTTTTCTTGAAGAAGAGGAGGAGAAAGAGAAAAGAAAGAAGGGAAGGAAGGAAAGAAAGAGAAAGAAAGAAAGAAAAAAAGACAGGGAGAGAGAAAGAAAGAAAAAGAAAGGAAGGAAGGAAAGAGAGGAAGGAAGGAAGGAAGGAAGGAAGGAAGGAAGGAAGGAAGGAAGGAAGGAAGGAAGGAAGGAAGGAAGGAAGGAACTATTTTACTGGAACAGACAATTTACAGAAGTTTCCCCACGACTCATTTGAATTCTGTCTCTTAAGCAGATTTTAAACCTAGGCTGTCCATTTTCAAACACTGACACAAATAAGGAAGAAAACTGATTATATTTTCTATGGCTTAGGGTTAGGCTTCTACCTCTTGGAAACTCTTAAGTCAGTATGTCTAGTAGAACCTCGCCCACATGCCCAGGTGAAATGTATATGAAGCCATTGACTATCAGATTTAAATTCATGGAAATCAAGTACTTACAGATTTGTTTCCACACACTGGCTGAATAGTGACTTCACTATACAAGAGACAGACTCTTCGTCGGGTGAGGTTCAGGTCTGGGGAGATGGGTCAGTTGGTAAAATGCTTGTTGCATAATCAGAAAGACCTGAGTTGAGATTCCCAGCACCAAGTGCGAGCTGGGTACACATATGTATCCTCGCTCTGGAGAGCCTATCCAGCCTGCTTACAAGCAGTGAACTCTGGATTCAGTGAGAGACCCTGCCTCAAAGGTTTATTTCTAGCAGATTTGGAAAAAAGAAAAAAAACAAAACTCATGTTTCATTTGGTTCATGAGTCTCTTGACTTTTGTCTAGGATATTCGCCTCTTTTTCCAAGCTGTTCCTTTGTTGAAGAACAAAACTAACTTAGACAATATAATGTTCCAGGTATCGTGTTTAGCTGTTGTTACTCTTTACTCTGTAATCTAAATTTATTACAGCTTAGAAGTCAGATCTTGGTTGGATTCAGAGGCAAAAGTTCGGCTTCTTCCGTGGTGTGCAGCTCATGTCAGCCTCCTGGGAGGTGCAGAAGGTTGGGCTGTGCTACTTTGAGTGATGCTGTAGCCTCAGGAAGAATGACCTAGTCCCCATTGTGATCAGGTTTTGTTGACCTAAACATTTTACTTACAAAGACTTATTGCCTGAATGCATCATTCCGTTAACAATTATAGAAATGGTGGTTGTTCCTTCCCACCCTAGCAGTTCTTCTGTACCTACTGTTAGGCTTCATTAACAAAGCACTTCTCTGCTTGGCTAATGTTTACTGACCCTCAGGTAGTTCACGTGGGAACAGGATAGGGGCTTCGTAGGTTTCCCTTATAACGGACAATTTCAGAATTGGTGCATCAGTTTCTTCCAAGGTAAGAAGTGGATGATTTTTTTTAATTTTAAATTTAATTTTTTTCTTATTTTTTTGCATTTTTAAGGAGAACTGTCTTTTTTTAAGAGCATATAATTGTAAATTTATGCATCGTCAATATATACATATATATATTTAAATTTGTTTCAAATTTTGTTGTTATTGAAGATGCTCAAATAAAACTTGCTTTGTTCTTTGGAGCCCTTCAGGTTGACTCCTATGTGTACATTTGCAAAAGAGAACCTGTTATATACTGAGTCACAGTGAACTCTGACATGTGCAACACATGCATATAATCAGTCCCAGCTCAGTACTAGTCCAGAGCATCCCAGAAGCACACTTGACATGTTAGTTTCTTGGGTTCTGTGTTTTGTTGCCATCACAGGCTGCCTCAACTCCTCTTGAGCATGTGTGCCCAACTATTTCTACAAACCTCGGTTCTGTCAGTACAAAATGGATTTTAGAAACAATAGCTGAGCATTGGGAATCATTGGTGTTTCATAGATGTTTCCAAGCCTTTTTGTAGAACCTGATAGAAAATACATACATTAAAATTAAGAATTCTTGCCATGTGGTGGTGGTGTACGCCTTTAATCCTAGCACTCAGGAGGCAGAGGCAGGCAGATCTCTGTGAGTTCGAGGCCAGCCTCGGCTACAGAGCGAATTCCAAGACAGGCTCCAAAGCTACACAGAAACTCTGTCTCAAAACACCAAAAATAAATAAATAAATAAATAAATAAACAAATTAAATAAAAAATTTTAAAAAATTAAGAATTCTTATGGATTTTCTTAAGTGAGCATTAAGTGGGCATGGGAATTAAAAAAACTTGAATTACATATTTCTTTCTATTGAAAAATCTTGTGGTCCAAAATAATATTATGAAACTATTCAGTTTATATTTTGGCTATATAAAATAGTTTCAGATTAATAATCTTAGCTTTAAGTGACTGATTATAGCTCTGCTTTTTAGTAGAGAAAGAAGTTAACTGAAAGGTTAGTTTTTTAAAACATTTATTAGCATTTTGAGAGCTTCCAAAATTTATAAATGAAGTCAGGAGATGAATTTCTCCTTCAGCCCCCTTTTGGTGTTGATATTGGACATATTTCTTGGTATTGAGAGTTATCCTTTTAAATCTTTAGTTTGCCGGAGAATTTGAGTACTTAAGCTCACTGCATTATAACCTTGGGATGTTCCAGGAGGGACAATGGCCCCTCATGCTCTTGGGATTGGTTTGTGCCGTATGGAATGTGTGTGTTCGTGTCCACTCTTGCTCACGGGGCAGCTCCAGGCTCAAGAGTCGTTCCCCAAATGCAGCAGAGAATTCTGAAGGTGCTCCTGTGTTCATCCCCTTGTTTCTTTCATTTGATAAATAGATAATTTATGATGTTTAATGTGGAATGGTTGTCTCTTCTTTGGGTCAGTCGGGTGACCAAGTGCTTTGATTTCTGGACACATTTTATACCGTTTGTCTGTGGGAAAATGGAAGGATTCATAGAAAATGTAGGAGTGAGTAGTTCTCTTCCATCCCTCTTTTCGCTGTTCCTCCGACCAGGCAGTTAATTCCTTGAACTTGAAGAGTTCTCAGAGGTCAGCAGTGGGTGTGATGGAGATGATACCTCATTTACCCATAGCCTCGTAATCTTTTAGCCTGACTTCTCACAGTGCCTTGTTCTGAATCACAACAATGTCCAGTAATTGTGAATTTTTTTCCAAATATGTTTTTACAGAGAGAATGATTCATGTTTTAAT